TGTCTTCCCATGACTGCTCCCATCCTGAAGCTACCTAGGGCTGCCAGCCCAGAATCAACTCATTAGCATACGAAGATACTTATCACTTTGAAGATTCCAAGAATTTAGGAATCAGGAAACTGGATGAAAACAATTGTATAGTTGACCTTTTTTTTGAGACAGTTTTACTCTGTTGCCTGGCTAGAGTGCCTAGTGTCAGCCTAGCTCACAGCAACCTCAAACTCCTGGCTCAAGCGATCCTCTGCCTCAGCTCCTGAGTAGCTGGACTATAGCCACGTGTCACCGTGCCTGGCTAATTTTTTCTATTTTAGTTGTTTGCTAATTTCTTTCATTTATAGTAGAGACAGGGTCTTGCTCTTGCTCAGCTGATCTCAAACTCCTGAGCTCAAGCAATCCTCCCACCTCGCCTCCCAAAGTGCTAGATTCAGCGTGAGCCACTGCACCCGACCTATAGTTGACCTTGAGCAGCTTGAGTTTGAACTGTGCAGGTCCACTTATATGTGGATTCTTTTCAATAAATATATTGAAAAGTTTTTCAATATTTGTGACAATGGAAACAACTTGCAGAGGAAAAATAAAAAAATTAAGAAAAAGTTAGGTACATCATGAATGCATAAAATATATAATGATAGCCCACTTTATTTACTACCATAAAATATACATAATCTATTATAAAAAGTTTAAATTTATCAAAGTTACCCAAACACAGATAAAACATGGCACCATTCTTAGTCTACAGAAATGTAAAAAAGTAAAGATGCCAGACTTGATAAGGCAGCTCACACCTGTAATGATGCACTTTGGGAGGCTGTGCAGGATTGCTTGAAGCCAGAAGTTTGAAACTAGCCTTAGCAACATAGCAAGACCCCCGACTAGCAGTCCTGGCTGTTGGAGGATGAGCAGGAGGATCACTTGAGCTTGGAAGTTGGAGGCTGCAGTGAGCTATTGTCATGCCACTGCATTCCAGCTTGGGTGACAGAGTGAGACCCCATCTCTTTAAAAAGTAAAGATACAGTATTAAATCATCACTGCATAAATTAACTGTAGTACATATTGTACTGCTATAATAATTTTATAGCCACATCCTATTGCTATTGCAGCATGCTCACGTGTTGCAAGTATCCTTAAGATTCTGTGTGACACCACTCATCTCTGTGTGAGCGGTTTTCTCTCTAGTAAATTGTATTATATATAGCGGTAAAAACTGATCTCTCGAGGTTCTTGTGTATTTTCATTGTGTTTAGTGCAGTACCATACTAAGGCCGCTAGCAATGCTGAAATCGTTTCCAAGAAGAGAGAAAAGTAATGTTATTATAAGAAAGTTGTTGATGTATACCATAGATGAGGACTGCAGTGCAGTTGCTTGCCATTCCAGACACACCATTCATCTCATAAACAGATGATATCAATAAATACAGTATAGTATAATAAATATATTATCTCTTCCTTATGATTTTTTCTTCTACAACAGTCATCTTAGACTTATGATTTCTTAATAACATATTCTCTTCTCTAGCTTAGTTTATTGCACGAATACAGCATATACTCCATGTTAGATACAAAATATTTATTAACTGTTATATTATCAATAAGGATTCTAGTAAACAGTCGGTTATTAATAATTAAGTTTTGAGGAGTCAAAAGTTATACTTGGATTTTTTACTGTAAAACTGGCGTTCGATTCCCCAACCCCCACATTGTTCAAGGGTCAGCTATGTTTCATAATATCACAGAGGTCTTTTCCAGTGTTGGATTCTCATGAGCTATGTCTGCTTAGGTTTATCAAGCTATCTCCTTCTCCACTTTCCAATATTAAACACCATTAGTTTGAAGTTCCTCATTTTCCAACTTACAGTTGAGTTGATCAGAGTTAGTTGATCAAGGTAGAGTAAAATTTTAACAAACAATAGTTCAGAGACTAGGTCCTGAGAGGAAGGGTTTATGTTTCAATTTATGTATCAACCCTTTCTAGAAAGCTTTGTTTATATGCCAGTTTATTGCTGTAGCCTGGCAGGATTTACTCTAGAGCAGGGGTCAGCAAACTCTTTCTGTAAAGAGTAGGTAGTAAGTATTTTAGGTTTTGTGGGCCGTATGGTCTTTATTGCAACTATTCAACTCTGTGTCGCATGAAAACAGTCATAGACAAATGAATAACATGCCTGTTTCCAATAAACCTTTATTACAAAAACAGGCAGTAGGCCGAATTTGGTCCATGGACCATAGTTTGCTTAGAGCATAGCTTTATCCTACTCTTTCATTAGTTTCTATTCCTCTCTTGAATCTTTTCTATTTGAGCTTTCTTTCTCAGCTTCTTTTTCAAAAGTTTATTGAGATACATTCATGTATCATACAGTTCACTCATTTTAAAGTGTACAGTGTTTTTTAGTGTATCACACAGTCATGCAACTATTACTACAATCTAATTTAAGAACACTTTCATCCCCCAAAAGAATCCTGTACCCATTAACAGTCATTCCCATTCTCCCTCCTCCTCCTGAGCCCTATATAACCACTAATCTCCTGTCTCTATAAATTTGCCTTCTAAACATTTCATATAAATGGAATGACAGAGTTTATGTTCCTTTGTGACTGGCCTCTTTCACTTTATATGATGTTTTAGGGTCATCCATATTGTAGCATGTACCAGTACTTTATTTTTGTGTTTTTTTTTTGAGACAGTCTTGCTGTTGCCCTGGCTAGAGTGCATGGTGTCATCATGGCTCACTACAACCTCAAATACCTGAGCTCAAGCAATCCTCAGCCTTCCAAGTAGCGGGACTACAGACGTGTGCTGCCATGCCTGCTAATTTTTCTATTTTAGTAGAGAAGAGGTCTCGCTCTTGCTCTGGTTGGCTCAAACTTCTTGACCTCCAGCTATCCTCTCACCTCAGCCTCCCAGAGGCTAGGATTACAGGCTTGCACCACTGCACCTGACCAATTCATTTCTTTTTATTGCCAGATAACATTCCATTATATAGATATATCATATTTTCTCTTCAGTTCATCATTTGATGACATTGGTTGTTTCCACTTTTGGGCTGTCAAGATTGCTGCCATGAACATTTGTATACTAGTTTGTGTGGATATATATTTTATTCCTTGGGTATATACTCAGAGTAGAATTAACTAGGTCACATGATAACTCTGTTAACCTTTGAGAAAACTACCAAACTATTTTCCAAAGCTGTCCCATCATTTTTTTGTTTTTGAGACAGAGCTTGCTTTGTTGCCCAGGCTGGAGTGAGTGCCACGGCGTCAGCCTGGCTCACAGCAACCTCAAACTCCTGGGCTCAAGCAATCCTGCTGCCTCAGCCTCCCGAGTAGCTGGGACTGTAGGCATGCACCACCATGCCTGGCTAATTTTTCTATATATATATAGTTGGCCAATTAATTCTTTCTATTTATAGTAGAGACGGTGCTTCCACTCTTGCTCAGGCTGGTTTTGAACTCCTGACCTCAAGCAATCTGCCCGCCTCGGCCTCCCAGAGTGCTAGGATTACAAGCGTGAGCCACTGTGCCCAGCCTCATCATTTTTATTTTTATTTTTTTTTAGAGATGAGGTCTCACTCTCACTTTGTCGCCCAGGCAAAAGGGCAGTGGTGAAATCATAGCTCACTGCATCCTTGAACTCCTGGGCTCAAGTGATCCTCCTGCCTCAACCTCCTGAGTTCCTGAGATTACAGGCATACGCTACTGCATCCAGCAGAGCCCCATCATTTTAAATTCCCACTAGCAATTTATGAGGGTTCTAGTTTCTCCACATCTTTGTCAACTTTTGCTATTGTCTCCTTTTTATTATAATTATCTAATGGTTGTCAATTGTCAGGTTACTTCTTTGCCATTTAATCTACTTCTGTAGAATTGGCCTTTAACCCAGCTCTTGAAGATCAGATTATGAATACTTAGCAAGTGTGCATAATACCTGGTGACAATAGTATTGTCCAATTCGATCTTTAGAACTCATAAAGTTTAATTCTTTGCTAACTAAGTATAACACAATGGATTGAGTTAGAAATTTTTATGAATTTAAGACTTAAGTATATGATCATGGTCATTATAGCTTTTTGTTTTTATCTTTTTCTTTTTGCATCTTTATATTACACAACAAATAGTTTGTGCTTCCATTTTGTTTAAAAAATTTTTGAGTCCTTTTAATAACTAAAGTTGCTTGAAATAATGACTTTCTCTACTGCTACATATAATTTTCCCCCACTGCAATTAATTTTAATTAGCTTTTAATATTTTCTTTTTAAATAAATATTCTTTATAGAAAATCTGGAAAGTATTGAAAAGTACAGAGAGAAAGTAAAAAATTCTCACACTCTTAATGGTCTTTGTTAATGTTTCAGGGTGTGTATTTTCCATTTCTTACCTGTGCTTTTAAAAAATACACTGTGTGGATATATAGACATCCATGACAACCAGCTATTGAATATCTAGGACTTAGAACCTAAACAGGATGAAACTTTGTGCCATGGGACGTAGTTTCTGTTTGTACCATGCTGTCCATAGTATGAATTATTTGCTGAAACTGAGGTCATAGATTACTTATAGGATTGGACTTTAAAGGGGGATTTATTATTGATTGTTACACTTATAGATGAATCTATAGAGCTTTATGTACAGAGTCAGATTCTTTTTTTTTTTTTTTTCCCCTTTCTCTATTTTGTCTACTCTGTTTTCCTAGGAACTCTAGCCAGGAACCACGGCCTACACTATCCAACACAATCCAGAGGCCACAGCTAGGTCCTACAGCCAGTTTACCCCTGGAGATGGGCTCAGGGCAGCTGGCATCCAGGTATGAAATGGTGGAAAAATCATCTTCCACTATTTGAGTGGAAGTCAATAGTAGTCAGTAGCCCAGGGGTGGCTATTTGTAACCCTGCTTATCTTTTGTTTGGTTTTTGCTTATTTTTTTAAGGTCCTTTCTCCACATTCTTTTTAAAAATCTTCTTTTTTCCTATTTCTCTTCTCACTGGCCTTTGACTTGTAGGCAGCAACAACAGCAAACAGAATTGGACATGGTACCAGGAAGAGATGGACTGGCCAGTTACAATCATTCCCAGGTGAGTGTGTGTCTTCTTCTTTGAAGAGAATAGTTAGCATTTTTTGTACAAATGTCCTTTGGCCGGGCATGGTGGTTCAGGCCTGTAATCCTAGCACTCTGGGAGGCTGAGGCGGGTGGATCATTCAAGGTCAGGAGTTCGAAACCAGTCTGAGCAAGAGCGAGACCCCGTCTCTACTAAGTATAGAAAGAAATTAATTGGCCAACTGAAAACATATACAGAAAAAATTAGCCGGGTGTTGTGGTACATATCTGTAGTCCCAGCTACTCGGGAGGCTGAGGCAGGAGGATCACTTGAGCCCAGGAGTTTGAGATTGCTGTGAGCTAGGCTGACACCACATTACTCTAGCCTGGGCAACAGAGTGAGACTCTGTCTCAAAAAATAAAATAAAATAAAATTAAATTAAAAAATAAAATAAAATAAAATAAATAAAATAAAATAAAAAAATAAACAAATGTCCTTCAGTGCCAGTCAGCGTGAGTGTATGTATATTTTATATGAATTTCAGGGTTATTGAATTGTCATGTTAAACTTTTAACGGTTATTTTTATCATTGTATTCCACAGGTTTCTGTTCAGCCTGTGACAGCCACAGGACCAGAGCACAGCAAGCCCCTTGAGAAGTCAGATGGTCTATTTGCCCAGGATAGAGATCCAAGATTTTCAGAAATCTATTCCAACATCAATGCGGGTATGTTTCTTACTCATTCCCCTTTTAAATTCTCATTTAGATCACTTACTGATGGGCCTGCCACTGCCTAATCAGTAATCTTCCATTGTATTTCCACTTAATCATAATACCTCATGAGTAAATAGGAACTTGCTGAACTAATAATCTACAGCCCCTTGACTGGCCCTCCCCCCACTCCTTTTGGTCCACAGATCAGAGTAAAGGCATCTCCTCCAGCACTGTCCCTGCCACCCAACAGCTATTCTCCCAGGGCAACACATTCCCTCCTACCCCCCGGCCGGCAGAGAATTTCAGGTGAGCCCCAAATGTGTGTGCCGCTTTACAAGGCCCTAAGAGATTCAGTTACCGAATCCAAATTTTATTCTTTCCTTGCTTTCTCTGGTTATTTCAGATAAAACAGTGGAGCTTGTAGGGCCTAGGGTGAGGCAAACAAGCTGCTTTTTTTCCTCCTATATCTTTGCACCTGTCCTATTGCCATGTTCTAGGCTCCATCTCTGTATGTCCTGGTCAGTGCGTGACTGTCTTTCTTGTCTTTTCCTATTTATATTATCAAATTTTCCTTAACCCCAAGGAAGCCAAGGGAATCTAGGGATAGCACTAGATTGTCCTTTGATTCCTAGCTTCTGTGGTAAATCCATCTTTTTAATCATTTACCTCACTATTTGTTCAAACCCAGGAATAGTGGTTTGGCCCCTCCTGTAACCATTGTCCAACCATCAGCTTCTGCTGGACAGATGTTGGCCCAGATTTCCCGCCACTCCAACCCCACCCAGGGATCAGCCTCAACTTGGACCCCTAGTACCCGCCCAGGCTTCTCTGCCCAGGTAACACTTCTCATCTGTGCATTGTTGTTTAGTTGGTTGGACTTTTTTTCCATATGTAAAATTATTGTTTATTTTAAAATACTTTCTTCCTAACCCCTATACTCTACCCTCCATGGTTTCCACATATTCATCTTAAATCAGAATTGCTCACACAAAACATTTTGAGCAGGTTTAATTTTCAGATTTGGAGTAAATCCTAAGAGAGTTCCTATTTATTTAGGACTATCTAATATAGGAACAAAGGAGAAAATTAATTATACAGTGATGTCTGTTTACAAAAAAATTGAAAATTGTTGTATAATATACATATTCATATGTAATATAATAATAAATATGTTGTCTAAAGCAAATATCTAATAATTACTATATATTTATATAAGTAATATTTTAAATAAAAAAGTTAAAACCAAAAGCAGACTCCAGAATGTTATATGTAGTATGACCTTAATTGTCTATAAAATGCATAGGAAAATGAAAACTGGAAGAAATTATACAAATATGTTAACCATGGGTCTCTGCTGATGGAATATGAATTATTCTTTTTATTTTCTTTCGCTTTCCAAATATTCCACAGTACATTACTGTTATGGTGAGAAAAAATGTTTAGTTTTTATAAAAAAGACATCATTAGGAACAAATGAATGCAGAACAGACTGAATAATGGTGCAAAGAGTTTTTTCTTTACATCTAATACTCTACTATTATTAATGCCTCTAGTTTTATATAACTTTACAGTTCATAAAATGCTTTCATTTAATACAACTTTTTTTTAACCCCATAGTTCTTTGATTTTTGCTCTTTTAGCTGTCTAAAAAGTAGTGTTAAGAGAGATTGGGATTTAATCAGAAGAAATACACAGTAGAAAATAAGAGATGAGCTCGGTTCAGAGGGATGAAGTGACTAACAGTGTTGACTCTCATAGGCATGGTTTGTACAATAATGTTAATGTTCCATTTGTTCTCTATCCCGTTGTCTCTTTAGCAGGTGACTACCCAGGCTACAGCCAAGACTCGTACTGCCCAATTTGGTGTGGGCAACTTTCAGACTCCATCCTCCTTCAGCCCCATGTCCCTCCCTGGACCTCCCACCGCATCACCTGGTGCTGCTGCCTACCCTAGTCTCACCAATCGTGGATCCAGCTTTGGTAAGTTCAGACCAGAAGGAAGGTAATAGGAAAATTTGTACCACTAATAGAAAGGATTAGGTAGTTAAAATTGTTTGCTTGTGTCCTTGATGCACTGACCTAATTGTAGGGAAATGCAAGGTGACCATCTATTTGGAATTTAAAACTTACCCACATGAAAAACAATTTTAGCACATACAACAAGCATGTAAATTGTTATAAAATTAATAGTATGTAGATTTAATCTAAATGAGCAAAGGACTCTTTGGAAAGGCTGCCTAGAGAAGAAAAATTAATTTGGGGATAGGTTTTGAAATATAAGAGGCATTGGCTGGGCAAGGTGGCTCACGCCTGTAATCCTAGCACTCTGGGAGGCCGAGGTGGGCGGATTGCTCGAGGTCAGGAGTTCGAAACCAGCCTGAGCAAGAGCAAGACCCTGTCTCTACTATAAGTAGAAAGAAATTAATTGGCCAACTAATATATATAGAAAAAATTAGCCGGGCATGGTGGCACATGCCTGTAGTCCCAGCTGCTCAGAAGGCTGAGGCAGTAGGATTGCTTGAGCCCAGGAGTTTGAGGTTGCTGTGAGCTAGGCTGACGCCACGACACTCACTCTAGCCTGGGCAACAAAGCGAGACTCTGTCTCAAAAAAAAAAAAATAGAGGAGGCATTGATTGGCAGAGAGAAGGACAGAAGTTATCCTAGGTAAAATTAATGGCTTATATGTAGTTATGTGCCAGTTTCTCCTCTCCAGTGGAGATTAGAGTTGTTTATTCTTCCTGGCTGTGTTTCTAGCTCCTGAGACTGGACAGACTACAGGACAATTCCAGAACGAGGGTCGTGTTTGGCTCAGTGGCAAGCCAGCAGGTCATCATCGTTCAAGTCTAGTGAGAGCATGTTCAAACAGCCATCAGCACAGCAACCTGGTCAGCCTGAGGTTCCAGTGAGAGGTGGAAAGATTCAGAAAATCAGAAAACATTTACAACCAGCTATAGGTCCCCAGGAAAAAAAAAGTAAATCAGAAATTGGGAGAGAAAGGGTCAAGAGGAGAAATGGAGAAGGAAGCATACCTGAATTGAGTTTGGTTAGGGGTGTATATGAGAAGACAGGATTAATGTAGGAGTAAGTGTCAGTAATTGCAAAGATTGTAGCCAGGCATAGTGGTGCATGCCTAATATCCAGCTACTCAGGAGATTGAGGCAGAGGATCACTTGAGCCCAGGAGTTTGAGTCAGCCTGGCTCATCTCTTGAAAAAAAAAAGATTGTGTGAACTCATCTCTTAAAAAAAGATTGTGAACTTAGTGTACATATACCCTTTAATCTGAATGAACAAGTTCAGTGATGTGAAGCACCATAGGAAGATGCAAAGAAAGTTACTTTAGCTCATTCAAAGAGATCACATCCCCATTTCCAGGTAGCTTTGGATGATTTAAAAAAATGTATTTAATAGAACATATTGATTATACCTGTAAAAGTCTGTTTATACAAGTTCTGAGGGGACCACAAGAGTGAATGGAATAATCTGAGCAGGACAAAGGAGGAGCTAGTTTAAAGCAATAAATGAAAGAAGGCAAAAGGTGTGGGTGGAAAATAAATAGAATAAGAGACTCCAGGCCAGGCGCGGTAGATCACGCCTGTAATCCTAGCACTCTGGTAGGCTGAGGCGGGCAGATTGCTCCAGGTCAGGAGTTCGAAACCAGCCTGAGCAAGAGTGAGACCCCGTCTCTATAGAAACAAATTAATTGGCCAATTAATATATATATACAAAAATTAGCTGGCGTGGTGGCGCATGCCTGTAGTTCGCAACACTTGGAGCCTGAGGCAGGAGATTGCTTGAGCCCAGGAGTTTGAGGTTGCTGTGAGCTAGGCTGACGCCACGGCACTCACTCTAGCCTGGGCAACAAAGTGAGACTCTGTCTCAAAAAAAAAAGAGACTCCATATATTTCTATATGTCTATATACAACTGAATGAAATGTGGCAAGCAGATTTTTCTCCCTTTGAAAATATCAAGGACTAAAAAAAGGAAACAAAACTATAGGAGGAAGACAGAGAAGGGACTAGGAAAAAGGCTGTGATCTAAAGGAATCAAAAGTTGCTGGAAGTAAGGAAGACTAAGAGAGCTCAGCATAGCAGAGACTCTTAGGGTCAAGGATGGTGGTGCAGGGGAATGTTGGGAGGAAACTTGATAAATGGAAGGGATCAAGGTATGTGACTCAAACTTAATCTTTTTCTTTCATTAGGAGATGCTCTCCATGCTGGGAGACCAGAGCAACAGCTATAACAATGAAGAATTTCCTGATTTAACTATGTTTCCCTCTTTTTCAGAATAGAACTATTGGGGTGAGGATAAGGGGTGGGGGAGAAAAATCATTGTTTGTTTTTTAAAAGCAAATCTTTCTGTAAACAGAATAAAAGTTCCTCTCCCTTCCCTTCCCTCACCCCTAACATGTATCCCCTTTCCCTTTTGGCTTTTCTCCTGCCCTCCTGCCTTCTGAGGTAACATTTATAGAAGAAATTGACCGAATTCCCCAAGGCTTTTAGGACCCTTTGAAAATTTGAGGCTGGGTGAAGTTAGAATGCCTTTCCTTATGCCTCCTGACCAGAAGTTGTACAGTGATGATTTGTGCTAGGGTCAAGAAGCAGGTTAGAAGAATCTGATATCCACTATTTGCCTTGAATACTATGTCTTGTTTTTGGAAAAAATTATTCATAAAGAGTGGAAGAGAGGAGAAATGTCCTCATATTTGAGGGCTGTGAAACATGGTAGGTATATATGGGACTTTAGGAAGTAAGCATAGGCTCTTTCTGCTGCCTGTGAGCAATTCCTCTGGAAAGAAACATGTTAGTAAGTGAGAGTGTGTGTGTGTATGTGTATGCGCATGTGCGTGCGTGTGTTCTGTGCACGTTTCTTGTATTTCTTTCTTTCTCCCTATTAGGGAGTTATGCAGAATTTGTCCCAGATTTTATCTTTGTCTTTCAGTGTGCTTTTCAAAGAGTCCTAAGGAGTTAAATCTTCTAGGCATTTTCTACTTAGTGTTGCCCAGCCAAAGAATATTTAAATAAATGTCTTTGCTGCGCTTACATCCATGCCTAGCCAACATGCAACTGTAAAGCAGATTTATACAGTCTTTTGTTATGGTTGGTCTCTCATCGAACATATTTGGTGAAAAAGCTGGATTACTCCTGCTTTTGGTGCTCTCACTTTATTTGGAAGATCTGCATACATTACTGAAATAGACTGGCAAGATAAACACTTTCAGAAACCCTAGACTTGGCCATAAAGATAATGCTGCATTTTTCTGTCAGAATCACATATGATGTGTGTTCTATAGAGGTTATTTTTGCATGGAAACTCAACTTCTTGGATTAGCAGTCCAGTGAAAATCCTCACTATTGGACTGTAAACCAAATACAAAGCCCTCTTTGCAAAGTAGCCTCTTTCATCCCATCCTCAAAATATCTATTTTAGCAAGAAACTGAGATATAGGTGTTTCCTGGGCCTATAGTTCTTTCTTTTTTGCTCCTTCTCTAATCTTGAGATTGGGTTTTGCTTTAGAGTACAAGTGTAATAACTCTGTGTGACGGATGAAGTCTGGATGCCCATCCCAACAGGGTCACTTGGTAATTAACTATAGCCATATAGATGCTGATACAGGTTACTACTCTCTCCCCTTCCGTTCCTCAGGTAACAGTCATGTATATCAGCCTTTTTTTTTGTAATTGGCTCCGGCCAGTATGTAAGTGCAAGACTGAATTAATGAGAAGATATGTTAAATGTAGTCACAGGGACTAAGGAGACAGTTGGCCTTGGAGAGGCTGAAGGAATGTCATTTACTGGGTTTTTCCCTCCCTTTTGTCTCCAGTGCCAGGTAGTAGAGTGAAAAAGGAGACAGTTTATTTTTTTATTCTATGTGCACACAGTATACATATATATTTATATCACAATTTACGAAACCAAAAAGTTGAGTTTCCAATGGAATCTGTGTTTTTAATAATCAAGTGTTTTTAAATGTGATCAGGACTATAATATTGTACAGTTATTATAGGGCTTTTGGGAAAGGGGAAGATAGGGAGAAGATGCTCTGGGGGTTTTGTTTCTGCTTTTCCTTCAGGGTTTTATTTTTGATTGTTTTGTTTTCCTGTTGGCCATTTCTGTATTGCTGGCATCTGTGCTAAGCCTTACAGTGGCAAAAATAATGATATGTAGCAAAGATTTTAAAACAAAATATTTTTTCCTTTTGTAAAATTTCTTGTGTTGTGTGATCTTGATTGCGGCTTTATCATTCCTTTTCAGCTCATAAACAACAAACACCCACAACTAAAGGGATCCATAGCTTGAGCTCCAAACATGCAAGCATAAAGCACATTGTGAGTCTTTAATTTCAGGAATCAGAAATCACAGGGCTCTGATCACTCTGTGTCCCTCCCTCTCACTAGTCCTCCTGATCCTGACACATTCTGAGTAAAATCAGCCTGGACATTCTGACTGTGAGATGGGGGTTGGGGGCTGGGGCTTGCCCAAGTCCGTGAGAGAGAAGGGGTAAGAGTTGGCACTTGAAACCACATATGGATACCTTCCTTCAGTGTGTCCTCTTCTGGATTAAAAGGAGTTGGGGATGGGGAAATTTAAACTTTTCAGGTCTGGACCTGTTTTTTTTTCTAGTACCATGTTGGCTCATAACAACGCTTAAAATCCAGAGCCGTAAGCCTGTGTTCTTGAGGGTCTATGTGTGAAATCCAGCTAGAAACTGAATCTAGATCAAATGTGTTAGGTCATTAAATATGAAATGTCCGATTTCAAATCAATAATTTATTATATCTCAAACAGGAAGCAGTACAATTAAAGTACACACCTAAACTATTGACACAGTTTTGCCATCTCAAGGGTAGCTTGTTTAAGCCAGCAGCAAAGAAGCCTGGAAAGTGAATGGCAATGAAATTGTGAAAGGTACTTTACACAGCTTTTGGAGAATTTAATATTTTTCCTTGCAAGAAGTAGTCCAAAACCTGCAAGAAGTGGTAGTCAATTGGTGCCAGGTCTGGTGAATACGGTGGATGATAGTTTCCAAGTCCAGCCTCAGTAGTTTGAGCAGCATTGTTTTGCAAGAAGATTGGCCTATCTCTGTTGACCAATCTCAGCTGCTTAATCGCAAGCATTCTCATTTCATCAGTTGGTTGCAGCAGACATCCGCTGTAATGGATTGACCAGGTTCATGAAGCTATAGTAGATAATACAAGTACTGGACCACCAAACAGACACCATTAGCTTTTGTGTTTTTTTTGAGACAGAGTCTCACTCTGTTCCCCGGGCTAGAGTACGTAGCTAGTGCCTAGAGCATCAGCCTAGCTCACAACAACCTCAAACTCCTGGGCTCAAGCAGTCCTCCTGCCTAAGCCTCCCAAGTAGCTGGGACTACAGGCATGTGCCACCAATGCCCGGCTAATTTTTTCTACATATTTTTAGTTGGGCAATTAATTTGTTTCCATTTTTAGTAGAGATGGGGTCTCACTTTTGCTCAGGCTGGTTGTGAACTCCTGACCTTGAGCGATCCACCCGCCTCGGCCTCCCAGCGTGCTAGGATTATAGGCGTGAGCCACCCGGCTGGGCACCATTAGCTTTTTTTGAAAAATATTCTATTTTGGACTATGTTTCAGCACTTCATCTTTATCCAACTTGTGTGCTAGACACTTGGTGATTGTCAAAAAGAATCTATTTTTTTAATCACATGTAACAATACAGTGTAGAAATGGTTCACCTTTATGTCATAACAGCAAAGAAAGGCAAGCTTCAAAATAATTTGTCTTCTGATGCTCGTGAGATTCATGAGGTACTCATCTGTCCAGCTTCTCTACCTTGCCCATTTGTTTCAAATGGTCCGATATTGTTGGAATAGTAATGTTAAACCTTGCTAATTCATGCAGAGGTTAAGATGGATTCACTTCCACTACAGCTTTCAGCTCATCATTATCCACCTTGATCTCGGGTCGCCCACATGGCTCATTTTTAAGATTAACATCACCAGAATGGAACTTCTTAAACCATTGATGTATTGTGCATTTATTAGCCACATCCTTCCCAAACACTTCATTGATATTTGGAGCTGTCTGTGCAGCATTGGTTCCACATGGAACCCATATTCGAAAATAACATAAATTTTTTATTTATCCATGGTTTCACAAAAATTGCTCTAAAATTTTTTTTTAAAGATAATCACGAGCCAAACCATATGTCTGAAAGAATGAGGACGTACCTTCACAACAGAAATAAAACAAGAAGTGTCTAAGTGAAATGTCAGAGAAATTTAGTACTTAAAGAGATCGGACATTTCACACTTAATAACCTAACATCCTTTCTATTACAAGGACCCTTTTTCCCTACATCTGTTTATGGAAGAAAATGAAGTTGAGTGTGGTTTGGGAACTGAGCTAGATTCTTGTGATCTGTCACATGCCTGGATGTTGGGGAAGCATTTGGAGAAGCTCATGTGACTGGGACTTAGATTGGGGATTTTAATAATTGAGACATAATGTTCAGCAGGCATCCCACCATCTGAGCGTTTTAGCAACAGAGTCACATGTGAATCCATCAGGACTTATGACATTGATTCATATGCTGTCATAAATAACAAGGAGTGCTTGGGTTTTGGTTACAATTTTAAAGCCAGTTTCATCTGAACATTCCGGGCATATGCTCCCTCAGCAAAACATGTTAAGCTGGGAAACTATTCCCCTGCCTGCAAGTGGTAACAACTTTTAGCCAGCAAACATAAAATACAACTTTGGAGCCTATGACTTCCTTTACATTACTCTTTTCTAGCCTTTTGTGTTTATTCCCTCATACCAGAGGTGAGGGTCAGACACAAATTTAAAAACAGTTTTCAGTGTTGGGGAGGTAGGTCATAACAGGAAAATGATAGGAAAAGATGTAATCCTCCAATAGTATAATAAGATATTAAAGAAAGGATGGGGGCGACTAGGGCTGTGTTGTTCCATTTACTCACCGAAAGAGAGGGTAAGCCCCTACTTGAGTAATATGTATTGAGGTTGGTTTTTTTTTTTTTTTTTTTTTGTCTGCCACCAAAGACAGTCATATGAGAATACCTAGCAGCTCTCCACCCTGGCACATGCACTGCACACACACAAAAACACTGCAAATCCGCTGCCTCCTTCCCTCCTCCCTAAACCCCCCTTCTCTCAGCATTTCTATCCCCGCCTCCTCTTATCCAAATTTTCCAGCCGACTGCTGGAGCTGACTTCCGCAATCCTGATGGAATAAATCTGGCACCCCCAGTCATCTGCCCACACTTCGCTGCCGAAACCAGGCCAAACAACAGATTCCCATCAGCAGGTAACATTTTCAACTTCCTAGATCTTTCAGCTTTTCTTCCCTCCAGTTTTCTATTTTTAGGAGTATTATGGACATAGTGACTTGGGGATCAAAATAAATTTTATAGGCTCTGTGGATGAAAACAGATACCCTTCTTAGGTCATTTCCTTGCCAAATAAAATCATCTAAAATCTGCCTGGAAATCTTTAAGATTCCTTGTATGATATTTATGATATAATATTCCTTGTATGATACATATATGATTGTTAGTAAAAGCAAAGGATGTAGAGAATCCTTACCCATCCCTCAAGAGTGGCCCCTCAGGATTTTCTGCCTTGACCAAAAAGGACCAAAAGTGTTAACTAATGAGGAGGAGGAGTGGTTTGGAAAGATTGGACCTCAGTGCTTCCTGTTCCGAGACATCTCAAAGCCCTTAACACTCCAGCTGTTAGTTTTACCAGCTTGCAAAGGTTACAGAAAAATGGACCATAAATTCAAAAATTATGCAAGCTATGTGACTTGCTGTAGGCTGCAAATTTTTATTAAAATGGAGGACTTGTAATTAAGCAAGCCATTGTAAGAAATGAGCTAAGCTAGAGTAAACTGAATTTAATTATCATAGAACATTGCTTTTCCATCTTAAATTCTTCTAACAAACCTTGGTTCTGAGGCTTTTTGTCTTGCATTGTGGCCATAAGTTTTTTGTTGGGGGAAAAAATCTAACTGCCCACATCTGGTTAAGATTAGGGCAGTTTCCTGCCTAAGGAGGGAGGGGAAAGAGAAAGGAAGAAATGCATAAGGAAGGTGAGGCAATAGTAAATGTCTCACAGAGAACAAGGAGCACTTAACTTACATTGTCCTCTTCTGACAAGATCTGGAAAAGTGCCAGAATTTAGGCAAGGAGGAGAACGCCTTGAAGAAATAATCAAGAAGCAAAACTTAGCCAGAAATCTTTTTTCTGTATTCTGTAACCCCACTCCCACCTTGCCCGCACCTTGTTCATCTCCAAGCCTGCTGGGGAGACTGGAGGAGGCAGAGATGAGTCCATTCTGGTTGTACAGTTTGTCCCTCTTTTCCGGTTGTCTGTGCAAGTGTGTGTGTGAGAGAGAGTGTTATTTGAATCTCCCTAGGTCAAAATACTTGGAATCAGATGTGAGAGTACCCCATCCAAATTTAGGCCCTCCTATCATTGGTTAATTTATCATATGAAAAATCACCATTCTCTGTCTGCCTTCCTCATAGAGCCTAGTGTTCCTTTGCCTAATGGTTCAGAGGAAGGGGTTCCTTGAGATCGTGAATCCCTGGATTATTACTGTGTGTGCAAGCATTTTTCTGATGAGAGGGACTGTATACTTTTATTAGTTTCTTTCTTTTCTTTTTTTTTTTTTTTTTGAGATAAGAGTCTCACTTTGTTGCCCGGGCTAGAGTGCCATGGTATTAGCATAGCTCACAGCAACCTTAAACTCCTGGGTTTAAGCAATCCTGCCTCAGCTTCCCGAGTAGCTGGAACTATAGGTATGTGCCACCATGCCCGACTAATTTTTTCTGTATGTTTTTAATTGTCCAATTAACTTCTTTCTATTTTTGGTAGAGACTAGGTCTCACTCTTGCTCAGGCTGGTCTTGAACTCCTGAGCTCAAGCAATCCACCTGCCTCAGCTAGGATTACAGGTGTGAGCCACTGTGCCCGGCCTTTTATTAGTTTCTCAAGGGAGCCTATGACTCCTAAAAGGTTAAGAGACACCTGTTTAGGAATATGACTTTAGCTATTTCCTAATCCCAAACCAGGCTGTGAACCCCCTGCCAAATTAAAGAGTCTCCTCTAATTATGCCCTTCCCTAGGATGTGGGGACTCAAGGTTCTGCTGCTACCCATGGTGACCTTTGCTCTGTACCCTGAGGAGATACTGGATACCCAGTGGGAGCTATGGAAGAAGACCCACAGCAAGCAGTATAATAGCAAGGTGCCTGGGTACTTGGAGAGGAGTATGGAAGGGGGGCTGAGATTTGGGATCTCTAGATCTAGCTTCCAGACTCCCTTCTTCAATCCAAATACTTTATTCCAAGCAACCCTGTCTCTGTTCCCTAACTCTTAACATAGGGTTTTCATTCCTGTGCCTCAACTCACCTTCCGTCAAATTGTATCCTTCCTTTGCTTTATAACTGTCTTATACTTCTCTTTTGGGAAGACTTCTCAGATTAATGCTATTAATCTATAAGCAATTTTTTTCTCTTCCTCTGGAGTTTTGCATTGTATTATTTGTATTTGTTTACATATTTATTTTTGCATGTTCTTAATAATCTCTGGTTAGTTCCCTAACTAAATTGTAAACTCTTTATGATTGTGAGTTTCATCTTTTCTCCTAAAAACCTCCACAGCATTGCATATGTAACATTATACACAGTCTATGCAATACTGACTATGCTCTGTTTAGGTGGATGAAATCTCTCGGCGTTTAATTTGGGAAAAAAACCTGAAGTATATTTCTATCCATAACCTTGAGGCATCGCTTGGTGTCCATACATATGAACTGGCCATGAACCACTTGGGGGATATGGTGAGTTGATCCTCAGTTCCTGGCCCACCTGCCCTATTTGCTTTAGTTCCCTGCTGATGCCTGGCCTCTTTCTTCTTTGTCTCAGACCAGTGAAGAGGTGGTTCAGAAGATGACGGGACTCAAAGTACCCCCTTCTCATTCCCACAGTAATGACACCCTTTATATCCCAGACTGGGAAGGCAGAGTCCCAGATTCTGTTGACTATCGAAAGAAAGGATATGTTACTCCTGTCAAAGACCAGGTACTCTCTTTTCTTCTGGGTATGCGTATGTAATCTGGCATGACGTCTTCCTTTTGCTGCTGCTTTGTTCTTGACATAGAAGGGCACCAGGAAGGGGAGAGAAGGAATTATCGTACATTTCCCCATGCTAAGAGAATATAGCCTAAACCATTATTTAACTCATCACATACTTTTGTACATTTAGCTTGTTTCTATTGTTTTTTATTGCAAATAGTGTTGCAATAAGCATTCTGGTGCATATATCTTTGTGCATGTGTACAAATAATTATGCAAAATAAATCCTAAAATTAGAATTGCTAGTTCACAGAGAATCCTTTCCAAGAAAGCTTTTACAATCTTATATTCTTATCAGCATGAGAATGCCGTTTTCCCACAACCTTAACAACACAGAATCCTGTCAGCAAGATGACCAATTGATTTAATATTCATTGAACAAATACTTTTTTACCTCAGAACCTACCAGGTACAGTGCTAGGCAGTAGAGATTTAAGACGATTAAGACAGCTGAGCATGTTGACTCATATCTGTATTCAACTTTGGGAAGTCAAGGTGGAAGGATCACTTGAGGCCAGGAGTTCAAGACCAGTCTGGGCAACATAGTATGACAACATCTCTACAAAAATAGAGAAATTAGCCAGCATGATGGCATGGCCTGTAGTCCCAGCTAATTGGGAGTTCTGAGGCAGGAGGATTGCTTGATCCCAGGAGTTTGAGACTACAGTTAACTATGATCTCTCCATTGCACTCCAGCCTGGGTGACAAAGCAAGGCCTTGTCTCAAAAAAAGATCATTAGGACATAACCTGTGTCCTCAAGAAATCCTCAATCTTAAAAAATAGAATAGGAAATAAAGAAAAATCTACAATCTAGTTGCACAAACACTAATAGTAATAGGTAACACTTTTTTTTTTTTTTTTTGAGACAGGGTCTTGCTCTGTCACCCAGGCTGCAATGCAGTGGCACGATCACAGCTCATAGCAACCTCGAACTCCGAGGCTCAAGTGATCCTCCTGCCTCAGCCTACTGAGTAGCTAGATCTATAGTCCATGCCACCACACATGGGTAATTTTCCTATTTTTTTGTAGACTTGGCATCTTGCTGCCCAGGCTGGTCTCGAACTCCTGGCCTCAAGTGATCCTCCCACCTCAGCCTTCCAAAGTGCTGGCATTACAGGCATGAGCCACCATGCTTAGCCATAACTAACACTTTTTGAGAGATTATTATGTATCAGGAACTTCTAAGCTCTTTATGTGAATTAAATCTTTTAATCCTCATAACAATTACATTAAGTATGTTATTGTCCACATTTTCCAGACAAGGAAACTGCCACACAGAGAGTTTTAGTATAATAATAACTTAACCAGGTCACATAGGTAGTGACCAAGGTTAGAAACCAGAAGAGCTACTTCCAAAGCTAGTACTCTGCTCTGCTCTGCTTTACTGCTGCTAACAGTAAAGATGATAACAGTTATTAATAGTAATAGAACAGTGCAACAAATGTTAAATGAAGGGGAAGAGGCAGACTTTGCAACAAAGGCAACATTTCTGCTGAATTTTATAGAATGAATGGAATTTCTTTAGGCAGGTAGAGAGAAGATACAGAAAGTGTGAACATCAATGATTGATAATTCTTCTTTGTGTCTCTTAGGGTGTGTGTGGTTCCTGTTGGGCTTTTAGCTCTGTGGGTGCCCTGGAGGGGCAACTCAAGAAGAAAACTGGCAAACTCTTAAATCTGAGTCCCCAGAACCTCGTGGATTGTGTGTCTGAGAATGATGGCTGTGGAGGGGGCTACATGACCAATGCCTTCCAATATGTGCAGAAGAATCGGGGCATTGACTCTGAAGATGCCTACCCATATGTGGGAGAGGTGAGGTTGCTCCGCACAGTTACACACTTGTAAGCTCCTCCGTCCCCAGCATGATTTTTTTTTTTTTTTTTTTGAGACAGAGTCTCGCTTTGTTGCCCAGGCTAGAGTGAGTGCTGTGGCGTCAGCCTAGCTCACAGCAACCTCAAACTCCTGGGCTTAATCAATCCTGCTGCCTCAGCCTCCCGAGTACCTGGGACTACAGGCATGCCCCACCATGCCTGGCTAATTTTTTCTATATATATTAGTTGGCCAATTAATTTCTTTCTATTTATAGTAGAGATGTGGTCTCACTTTTGCTTAGGCTGGTTTCGAACTCCTGACCTCGAGCAATCCACAGGCCTCGGCCTCCCAGAGTGCTAGGGTTACAGGCGTGAGCCACTGCTCCTGGCCAGTTCTTAATCTTGTTATAGTAAAATTAATAATTTTTCCCTTTGTAATGTATGCCTCTTAAAAATACAATAGCAGCGAATTTTATTCATTTATGAATGGGGGGAGATAAGGAAAAATAAAATTTTAAAAAGAGAAGAGATCTGATAGGGCAGTTGTTGCCAGTTAAGAACATTTTAAAGGGACAGCAATATAAGTTTATTCCAATCATGATGCAGGTTATTCTGACTTTAAAGTATCATTCGCATGACATCCTTCTGAGTCTATTCCTAAGATACCCTGTTTTATTTGTAGGTATGTGCAACTTTTGGCACCAGAAGGCATCAGGGGTTTGGATCACATGGCAGAGAACAAAGAGATCTTGACAAATTATTAAGATTACAGACCATTGTGACCTTAGAATGTCACGTAAAATGCTCCCATTACTGTTAATATTTAGACTATATATATATTAGTGTATATATATGTGTGTGTGTATATATATATATATGTATATGTATATTTTTTAGAGATGGAATCATAGCACCTCAACATTCTGGGTTCAAGTGATCTTGCCTCAGCCTCCTGAGTAGTAGATAAGGTATTCTTATAGATACAACCTTAGAATTTTGAAGGGGTAGTCTGTAGGAAAATGAATTGCCAAAAAGAATACACCATCTTGACATGGGCTATCATTGGATTACATAGTGAATCACAGGCTAAATTGATAGGTTCTTTAATTAATGTATTTTAGTGTCATGTTATGTGCTTTTATATTTTATCTTTTTTTTTTTTTTTTTTTTGAGACAAAGTCTCGCTTTGTTGTCCAGGCTAGAGTGAGTGCCATGGTGTCAGCCTAGCTCACAACAACCTCAAACTCCTGGGCTCGAGCGATCCTTCTGCCTCAGCCTCCCGAGTAGCTGGGACTACAGGCATGCGCCACCATGCCCGGCTAATTTTTTATATATTAAAAAATTGGCCAACTGATATATATCAGTTGGCCTATTAATTTCTTTCTATTTATAGTAGAGACGGGGTCTCACTCTTGCTCAGGCTGGTTTTGAACTCCTGACCTTGAGCAGTCCGCCCGCCTCGGCCTCCCAGAGAGCTAGGATTACAGGCATGAGCCACCGCGCCCGGCCTATATTTTATCTTTAATGAGAGCGTAAGGGTCCAGCCAAAACTCTTTGCCTTATACCAGCTCCCCTGATACAGTAGCGACAGAGGGGCCAGATCCTCCCTCTAGCTGGGCTTTGGCCTTGGTCTCCACACAGCAGTTGATGCCCTCATGCCCTCTGAGGCTCATACATACTACATAGCCAGAAGATGATTTGTGTATTTTTCAAAAAATCTTATTTCAGAATTCTTTTTCTACTCTGAGGTAATAAAAATATTCTCTCTCCTTTTTAAGTTTGAAAGTTTTTCCTTCCACATTTATGTCTTCAAACTACTTCAAACTAGAGTTGATTTTTATGTGTCGTAGAAGTAAAGAATCTACTTTTCATGTTTTTTTTGTAGTTTAATAAAATGGTGAGGGACTCTAGTCTGCTGCCTCTGTTAGTTCACTGTCGTTACTCAAAATATTGCTTGAGTTTTTCACTCACCAGCTCATTGCCTATTGCTTATCCTAGTTCTATTACAACCTTGTTTCTTCCAGGATGAAAGTTGTATGTACAACCCAACAGGCAAGGCAGCTAAATGCAGAGGATATAGAGAGATTCCTGAGGGGAACGAGAAAGCCCTGAAGAGGGCAGTGGCCAGAGTGGGACCTGTCTCTGTGGGCATTGATGCAAGCCTAGCCTCCTTCCATTTTTATAGCAAAGGTAAGGAGCTGTTCCTGTAGAGAACTGTCTTTTATGATGTAGGCATGGCAGCTTCTCGAAGGACCCGGAATATTTTCGGTACTTAGTTTTCATATTCTGATTGAGTCTGCCAAAGAGAAACTAACAGTTGCTGCAATGCAGAGCATCTTTGTTGTAAACTCTTCTGACTGGGATGGAATTCTAGAGTCTCCTAGACTGGGATACCCCACAGGGCGTATTGGATTGCAGAGAGCCTCACCTTGATAGTTTGTTTTCTAGGTGTGTATTACGATGAAAGCTGCAATAGTGATAATCTGAACCATGCAGTTTTGGCAGTGGGATATGGAATCCAGAAGGGAAACAAACACTGGATAGTTAAAAACAGGTAATAATGGAAATACTACTTTTGTCTCTCAGTTACCCTTAGAACACTCAGACTCACCTCTAGCTTCCCAATATTCCATTCTTGCTTCCAAATCAAGAGAAAACTGTCTCAGGCTTTTCAGTTCTGTCTTTCTAGTCAGAGGCTTTTAATTCTGAGTCTAACATTTAATGGTCAAACAATAGTACTCAAAGTATGTGTTGGGCAGCTGCTCCATGTGTAAGGTGCTTAGTAAAATACACAAGAAATGGAGCAGATGTCTGCTTTAAGTGATCTCAGAGCCAATAAGAAAGACAGACCTAACTAACCATGACACAAGAAAGCAAAAAAAAAAAAAAAAAAAAAGCTGGTAGAAGCTTTAGAATTATCTATTTTTACTTTTTTTGGTCTCTAATGTGATCAATTCTTAGGGAAGTTTCCATTATCAGTCTCTCTATAAGCAGCAGGGGAACAGAAAACAATGTAAAGGTTTAATATTCCCTTGTGCAGCTTTTTGTTCTTCAAAATACCCTTGAAGAATATAAAGTTTTATATATATAAGAACTTGCCAAAGATTGTGAGGTCTGTGAAGAGAAACACTTTTTGGATATAAGGTATCAAAAAAAACCAAATTAGTGTTTGCTACCCATCTCTCTCTAGCCCCTTGTGGCTTTGGGAATCGGGCACAGATTTATGGGAATTATACTTTTCTTTTCCTGGTTGGTCATTACCAACCTGGAAGCAGCACTGATTAGATTTGCTGTCCTTGCTGATCTCCAAGGAACAAGAATCCTAGACTCTCAGGAGTCACAAAATAATGCAGTGGTATAATCAAGTTGAGCTGCTACCTGGAAGACTGAAACACTAAATTGTGAGGCTGGGAGTTGCTTCACAGTTCCAACTCAGGGTGAACGTGAGCACTTTTCTACTCTCCCATAGCTTCTGTCCTTGTGTTGTCCCTTTCTTAACTCCCAGGCCCAAGCACTTACCTTGTTCTTTCTTGATTAGATGCCAAGGGTAGAGATAATATCCAAGAGAGCTGGGAGGAATAAGGGACACACCCAGGCAGGATCAGAACAGTGGGGGCACCTGAAGAAGGAGAGGACAGGGGTAGGGTGTAGGCCTTAAATAAAATATACTGGGTAATTTGAGAAATTGCTGGTTGGGGAAAAAGGACAGAAAACTCACAAAAACTATTTGGAAGATATACAGACCAGTCTCTCCTCTCTCCATTCTCTCTTTGTCTCTCCTGTCTTCTAGACTCTGCACTCCTTTTCTTTGTCATCTCATCCACTTTCATAGTTCCATCCATCTGTCTTCTAGGGTTTTCTCCCAAATTAAAATCACCAGCTTCAGCCTCTCTTGCATCTTTCTTATGTTCTAGACTTACATTTTCAAGAGCAGTCTTCCCCAAATACAACTCTAATCATATCACTCTCCCACTCAAAAACCTTCAGGCTCTTCTACAATCATGGGTCACAAGTAAAACTCAAACTCTTTGACCTTGCAATAAAGATAATTCAGGCTGATCTCAATCTATCTTTCCAGACATGTCTTCCACTACATCCTGTCAGGTACACTATTTTGCAGCCCTATGATCCTAACATACATCCACGCTTTCCTGCCTCCATTGTTCATTTCACACCCCTCCACCAGCATCCCTTTCCCACAGGTCAAAATTCTACCCAGGCTTTTGGCTCAGTTCAAATGCCACCTGTTACATCAGACCGTTTTTGGTCTTCTTGATCAGAAGCAATCTCTCCCACCTTTGATACCAATAGTTTTATGTCTTTTTCTCACTTCCTGACTTTAAATTCTTTAAAGGTAAAAAATATTTTATTTGTTTATGTATACCATCAGTACCTAGCACAATACTCTGTAAGTGTTTTAATGAATAAATAAATTGAGGGTACTAAGTATTTTTCTTGACTGGTCCTACAGCTGGGGAGAAGCCTGGGGAATCAAAGGCTACGTCCTCATGGCTCGGAATAAGAACAACGCCTGTGGCATTGCCAACCTGGCCAGCTTCCCGAAGATGTAATTCCAGCCAGCCAACCCTGTCCTGCTATTCCATTCCTTCTATGATGGTGCAATGTAATGATGTACTTTGGAAGGGAGTTAGTGTGCCATTCTTGAAGCAGATGTGGTAGTACTGAAATTGTTTCTTCAGTTTCCCCATTTGTTTGTATTTCAAGTGATCCCTGATACTTTCCTCCTCTGCACTCAAGTCCTTTTTCATCATGGCCACAGCAGGAATTTCCCTGACAGATGTGCACTCTTAGGATAAGAGATGTGACCACAGCCTGCCCCTGTGGGTTGTCCCGGGGCTGATGCTGTCCAGATAGGAGCTAGAGATTTTCATGTAGTCTAGATTCTCATTTACTGGGATTAGTTAGCTTTAACCACCCCAGACGACTAGGGTGACCTGACTTCTCAGTTTCCAAATTCCCTTCTTTTATATCCTCAAGGTAGAAATTTCTATATTTTACACTCCAATTCATAAATCTATTCATAAGCCTTTGGTACAAGTTTACATGATATAAGAAATGTGTTTTCTTTTCCCTTCTTTGCATTTTTGAAATAAAGTATTTATCTCTTGCCTACAATTTAATAAATAGTATTTAGTACACATTCATTTTGCGTTAGTTGTAGATAGTTGCTGGAGAAAAAAAGATGAACAAAACATGTTCTCTAGGCCGGGCACAGTGGCTCACACCTGTAATCCTAGCACTCTGGGAGGCCGAGGCAGGAGGATCGCTAAAGGTCAGGAGTTCGAAACCAACCTGAGCAAGAGTGAGACCCCGTCTCTACTAAAAATAGAAAGAAATTAATTAGCCAACTAAAAATATATAGAAAAAATTAGCTGGGCATGGTGGCACATGCCTGTAGTCCCAGCTACTTGGAAGGCTAAAGCAGAAGGATTGCTTGAGCCCAGGAGTCTGAGGTTGCTGTGAGCTAGGCTGATGCTACAGCACTCTAGCCTGGGCAACAGAGTGAGACTCTGTCTCAAAAAAACCGCAAAAAACAAAAAACATGTTCTCTATACTTGATGTGCTCACAGTCCGATTGGAGAGACAGTCACATAAACAATTTGTCTAATAAAAAAATAATTTTTGTTCATTCTTTCAACTGACATTTATTGAGTGCTTACTGTATACCAAGAACTGTACTAAGTTTCTGGGATTAAGTGAACATAAGGAGATCTCAACATGTAAGTCTGCTGTAGGGGGACCGGATTAAGAGACATGTAAACCTAGGTCTTGAAAAATATCTTAAGATCCTTTCTGTGAGGTTCTACAACCTAAACTTTTGCTGTCACCAAAAGAGGAAATTGAAATTCTTTACTAATAGTGTCCAACCAGTATTAATTCTAAAAGAAATTAGCTGGCTAATAATAAATCAGCACAGTTTGTTTTGCCATTTTTCACAAAATGTGTATTAAGTACCCATTATTACCACAAGAAAGAGTTCCCATTTACTGAATACTTATCATGTGTCAGATACCCTTTTATTTCATTCTATGCAAAAGTATTTATTTTTGTTTGTAATATTTATTGCCATGTGGTAAACAATGTGTTAAGGCTAGGAAGATGAAAAAATTAGTAAGACATGACCTTGACTTCAAGAATGTTGTAAACTAATGTTAGAGACAGAAATAAACAACTAATAATACCAACCATAATGAAATAAATACTAATTATGCAAGCTTAGGAATGAGTCAGTAATTCTTAATGGGATTTTAGGTGAGGTTTTATTGAGAGGAGAGCTTTGAAAGATCTTAATGGGCAGAGAAGAGGGGTAGGAGAGTATACCAGGCTTGAGGTTCTGGGTAAACAAAGGCACAGAGCTGTGTGGGTGAATAGTGAGGGCAGGGGTGCCTCAAGTATAGAGTACAAAGGCATACATGGCTGAGCTGAGGTAAGAAAAGTAGGTTGGAGGTGAATCCTGCATTGAATGCCCCAAGAAGTTCAGACTTTATATTTTATAGACACACAGGCATTTAGTAAGCATCAAATATTTTTGAGCAAGAGGGAGGCATAATCGGATCTATATTTTAGCAATATTCCTCTGGCAGTGGAATAAAGAACAAATAAAAGATGAAGAACAAAATGGAGATGCAAGAGATTAGAGGAAAGTCAACATTTAGGAGGCATTACACATACTCTGTTGTTTCTCAGAGAAAGAATACTTCATAAAAGAATGACTCCAGAACTTTTCTGAAGCTTGAATATGAGTTTGGCAGGTAAGAAAGGTAGGAAATGGCATTCTAGACCCAACAAAGAGCATATTCAAATGTGTAGAAATGAGAGAGCATGCACATTCTGCAATCTGCAAGTATTTTTTGTTGAGTTTTGAAAGGACTAAAGACAAGCTAGGCAAATCTACACAGAGTTCTGTTACTTTGATCTGGGATTTTTCCCCTTCTGCCTGAAGAATATCCCTTACTATTTCCTTTTGTGTGAATATGTGAGCAACTAATTTACTCCATTCCTAAATGGTTTTATTTCTATGTTTTTGATTCTGGTCAACTAACATGTATATTTGTACTTGACCAGTATCACACAGTTAATTAATGGAGCTTTGTAATATGTTTTAATATCTAGTAGGCTTAGTCTTCCTGTCATTACTTTCTTTTTTCAATATTTTTCCTGAATAATCTTGCTTTTTAATTTTGTCTATATGATCTTTAGAATCAGCTTGTCAAGTTATCAAAAGTCCTGCTAGTATTTTTATTTGGATCACATTAAATTATATCTTAATTTAGGGAAAATTGACCTTTTTTCAAGCATTTTTTTATGCCTGTCTCATAGATCTTGCTTGTTTCTTACCAAGTGTTTTTCTAGGAACTTTGCCCTTTATTATTTTATTTTTATTGTTATTTATTTTTTTTTTTTGAGACAGAGTCTCACTTTTTAGTTGCCCAGGCTAGGTGAGTGCCTGGTGTCAGCCTAGTCACAGCAACCTCAAACCCTGGCTCAAGCAATCCTCCTGCTCAGCCTCCGAGTAGCTGGGATACAGGCATGTGCCATGCCTGGCTAATTTTTCTATAATATTAGTTAGCCAATTAATTTCTTTCTATTTATAGTAGAGAGAGAGATCTCGCTCTTGCTCAGGCTGGTTTCAAACTCCTGACCTCGAGCACCACCTCGGCTTCCAGAGGTGTTAGGATTACAGGTGTGAGCCACTGCCCGGCCTGCCCTTATTATTATATTATATTTGCTGTTGAAAATAGGGTCTTTTCCAAATATATTAAAATTGAATGTATTTGTATATTTGAAAGATATTGATTCTGTGTTAATAATGTTTGTATTGCAGATTATCTAGAATTCTGTTTTTGTTATAAGCTTTTAAATGATTCTCTGATTTTTTGGGTATGTAAATGTATGATCCACAGAGGTAATTCACCTCTGTTCCTCTATAATTTATGTCTATGTTACCTTGAGGTAACCTGAAAATAAATAAATAAATTTATGTCTAATATTTCTTATCCATTTGCTATAAATAAATCTCTAAAGATTCAAAGTAATAGAAGGTGGTAAATCCTGACCTATTGTATTATAGTAGATTCATGAAACTCTACCATAAAGATGTAAATAATTTACTATTACTAGTCCTCAATAAGTGAAATCATGTTTTCAGTGTTCTCAGTTACAAATGATATGAAATTAATGTGTTATATTTAACACAAGACATTTAAATTATTGCAATCATTTTCTTTTAATGTTTTATTCTTTCATAGCAACAATATTAGCTACATTTATTGAGCTTTACTGTAGGCATACCATGGTAGGGGTCTTTCCAAATATCTTACACTCTGTACCTTTTATCCCCATTTCTTAGGTTTAAATAACTTACAAAGATAAACTAGCTAGTAAGTGGCTGGCCAGACTTAGACTCAGGTCTTTCTTGTTTATATAGCATTTCTAAATTGTATTATTATTTTTTTAACTGTATCATATAGACATTTTAAGCCTATACATACAGAGAAGGTAGTACAGTGAAGCCCCATGTACTATCATCCAACTTCATAATTACATAACATTTTGCCATCTTGTTCATCTATCCTTTCCCTTTTTTTTTTGAGACAGTCTCACTTTTGCGCTGGGTAGGCTAGAGTGCTGTGGCATCAGCCTAGCTCACAGCAACTGCAAACTCGGGGTCAAGCGATCTCCTGCCTCAGCTCCCGGTCAGCTAGTACTACATGCATGTGCCACCATGCCGGCTAATTAATATATAATATATATTAGTTGTCGGCTAATTTCTATTTTTTTGTTTAGTAGAGATGGGATCTTGCCCTTGCTCAGGCTGGTCTCAAATTCCTGAGCTCACGATCCCTGCCTCAGCCTCCCAGAGTGCTATGGATTACAGGCATGAGCACCATCCCAGCTCTTCCCTATTTTAAAAGCATTTTAAAGCAAATCTCAGATATTGTTTCATTCATAAATACTTTATCATACATCCCTGAGTGAGGAACTTTTTAAAATGTAATCACCATGCCATTAGCACACTGAACAAAACTGACAATTGTTTTTTTTTTTTTTTTTTGAGACAGAGTCTCACTTTGTTGCCCAGGCTAGAGTGAGTGCCATGGTGTCTAGCTCACAGCAACCTCAACTCCTGGTCAAGCGATCCTGCTGCCTCAGCCCCAGGTAGCTGGGATACAGGCATGTGCACCATGCCGCTAATTTTTTCTATATGTATTAGTTGGCAATTATTCTTCATTATAGTAGAGACGGGGTCTCGCTCTAGCTCAGGCTGGTTTCGAACACCTGACCTCGAGCAGAGCAATCCCAGAGTGCTAGGATTATAGGCGTGAGCCACCGCGCCCAGCCTTTTTTTTTTTTTTTTTTGAGACAGAGTCTCAAAACTCTATTGTTGGCCCAGGCTAGAGTGAGTGCCGTGCATCAGCGTAGCTCACAGAACCTCAAATCTGAGCTTAAGCATGCCTATGGCCTCAGCCTCCTGAGTAGCTGGGACTACAGGCATGCGCCACCATGCCTGGCTAATTTTTTCTATATATATTAGTTGGCCAATAATTTCTATTTATAGTAGAGACGGGGTCTCGCTCTTGCTCAGGCCTCACAGAGTGCTAGGATTACAGGCGTGAGCCACCGCGCCCGGCCTGACAATTGTTTCTTTTTTTTTTTTTTTTAACAGAAGGCAAACACATGTAAATTGTTTCTTAATATCATCTAATATTTAGTCCATTTAAAAATTTCTCCAGGCCGGGTGTGGGGGCTCACGCCTGTAATCCTAGTACCATGGAAGGCTGAGGAGGGAGGATCGCTCGAGGTCAGGAGTTTGAAACCAGCCTGAGCAAGAGCGAGACCCCATCTCTACTAAAAATGGAAACAAATTAATTGGCCAACTAAAAATATATAGAAAAAATTAGCCGGGCATAGTGGCACATGCCTGTAGTCCCAGCTACTCAGGAGGCTGAGGCAGGAGTATCGCCTGAGCCCAGTAGTATGAGGTTGCTGTGAGCTAGGCTGATGCCACACCACTCTAGCCCAGGCAACAGAGCGAGAGTCTGTCTAAAAAAAAAAAAACAATTATCCAGTTGTTTAAAGGTGTCCTTTTAATCTTAATTTATTCAAATCAGTATCCAAAAGTATTATATATTGCATTTGGTTG